TTTTTTTAGAAAAAAGAGGTCAAAAACACTTTTAATAAATTGTTAGAAAGGATTGACCAGGATATAAATAATCATGGCAACTATGCTCAGCATTTGATAAAATAAAATTGAAAATATCTCATTATTTCTCTATTACTATTTAATGTTCTTAGAACTTTTGATCAGACATAAGTATTTAAGAAAAAAGATTAAAGAGTCAGTAACGTTATGGGGATTCGCAGTAATCTTCAATAATCTTATGAAAGTCTTCTTGGTATTGTTATGTTGAAGAAGAAAACATAAAAATACTTAGCAAAATGTTTTGAAGAAAATAACTATCTCGTGGTTTGGAATCGAAAATATTTGAAGTTCTTTAGGTAATCTACATGAATAGGGAATGTTAAAATAAAAATGAAGTCGATTTACGAAATTTTTTCCATGCTTTTTCCTATCCACAGTCCCTCGAAAGTAATTTATCATAGTTTGTTTTTCTCTTAAAGATACTATCAAATATGACTGAAAGAACAAATAGCCAACAAATTGATGAACCACATGGTTGTATTGAACTTATTCGATGTGTTCCAGCAACAGACGAAGAACGAAAAGCTCCTCGATATATACCAAAGTTGGAAATAAATGAACAAGCACAAGCAATAATATCAGAAAGATTTGAATCACCAATATCAATTATAGCCTATGTTGGAAAGGTAGGAGTGGGTAAAAGTAAACTAGCAAGTTTAACGGTGGAAACACTACGTAGAACACCATCTAACCCACCATTACGACCGTTTCGCAGCGGTGGAGCTGGTACTCCTGTTACTCATGGTGTTTGGATGTGGTCTGAACCGTTACGTCATCTGGACGAAGACCAACAAGGTTCAATACTAGTATTAGATTGTGAAGGAATGGGTGAATTGGACGAAGATACTGGTGATAATTTATACTTATTTTGCATGATTATGAGCACAGTATTTGCTGTTGTCCTTCGTGCAGTTCGAGTCGATCGTTATCTATATGATCAATTGTATCATGCTCTACGTCGTTTTAAAAGTATGCACACACCTTATTTGTTACCCAACTTATGCTTGGTAGCGATGGATATGCCATCATTCATTCGTAGTGATCCAGTAATGGGTGATGTGCCAATTCCAAAAGATCAATGGTTAAAAGAAATATTTAGTAACACTTCAAGTACATTGTCACATCATGACAATGAGTCAATTCAATTGCGCTATGACTATATTACTGGACTGTTACCTCAAATTGATGCTGTGAATATTGATTATTTGCCACGAAAACTGGTGAATAACAATGAAAAATTAGATATACATACAATATTACGAGAAGAATCATCCAAAGAATTCTATACATCGCTACAAATAGCTATTAAGAAATTGTTATCGAATGGTGGCAAACGATTACCAGGATCTCAACAGTCCTCCCTGTTTGTTCGACCAGCCGAACTGACAGCTATAATGAGTGATTTAATCGATGTTCTTAATGAAAATAAAATGCCTAATGCTGATATATTGATCAGTCGATATTTATTAACACGTTTTATGAATGAAATTGTGGAACAACAGGTAGCAGAATTTCAAGAAAAATTACTAGCATATGCTCATAATACTCTTGGTGATGCTATGAGTAAACGACAAAAACCAGAAACCCCTAATGAAATTAGCGCAACGGATAATCAAATGAAAGATGAACGTGATCGTTTAACAACACAATATATCGGTGCCATTATACGCTTAGCACGCTATCAAATTTATGGTCTTGATACAATACTATCAAGTGAATACGTTGATGTTAATGAACAAGAAAAGGCTTTATTCGAATTACCAAAATCAGTTCAAGAAAAAATCAAAGACATCAAAACACAAATGAATGGATATCAAGAACCAGAATTATTTATCAAAAAGATGCATGCAAATTTAGTTATTGAGGATTTACATCGTCAACAACAAGAACAACGAAAATTGCTTCAAGAAACTATGAAAAAATTAGAAAATAAACGAGATCTTGTTCATCGCGAACAACGCATCAATGATTCTTTGAAATTGGCAAAACCGGTGAGAATTGGTCTCGCGCCATGCGCACATTGCGGACGTCCAGGTGGTGCTATTAACTATGTTCATTGGAAAAAACACTGTCCTTCCAGACGAACGGGTAATTATTATTATTATCATCGTGAAGATGAACGAATGGTATGCGACGCATGCAGACAGGTAGACAAAATAGACGATCAACGCGTCGAATGTAGCCGATGTGGACGAACACGAAAAGTGACACGCTTCTTCAAATTTAATGAATAATTGTAATGAATTTTATTATGGCACATATTTAAAGTCTTGCTATAAGACAGAACTTATGAACATGTTATTCATATATATGTTCTTTCTTACTGCCAGGTGGTTTACCCTAATAATTTTTTACTTTGATGTAATATCTTGGGCATTTTCCAACAGTAGTACATTGTCCCTTGGCTTACTCTATCTTCGTCTAAACCTTCGATATTAATATATACTATTTGTCTGTAAAGCGTGACCGTTTTAGCTTCTTAAAATAAATTTTGTTACACAGCAAGGTATCACAGATATTAATTTGAACTGTATGCCGATGAGTGAAGTAAGAATAGTACATCACTATGTTGTAATGGAGAGAATAATTCTTATTATTAAGATCTAGAAGGAAAAAGACAAGATAGAAAGAAAGAAAAGAAGAAACTACAACAGTCTTCGTTTGGAACACTGTAAAAAACCGTAGGGTGTGGGTGGGTGTGGGTGCGGGTGCGGGTGCAGACGTTCTCTGGTGGATTCATTCGCACCCACACCCACACCCTTTATAGTTTAATTTTTTGTTTTCATGAACAGGGAAATTTTGAGCGAGCGATTTCGAAACGTGTGAAGTAGTGATTATTTTTTTCAACCATACATACCCATACAGCCTCTGAAACATTCTTAATATCTATGGTATCTATAAAACACGTGAAAAAGATAAACGTTTTATGAAAAAAAGAAACTTAACACTATTGATGGTAAAATAATATTTCTTTTTAGATGATAAATAAATATAGTTTATTAGAAAGAATTAAGAGAAGGTGAAAAATTGAACAGTTCGACAGCAAAAAAAACTATTCAATCTGTACATGTCCTCGTTCTTCTTGAGTATTTAATATGATTTCCTAGAATGAAGTAGCATTTTCATTTCTTTTCGCAGCACTAAATAATGCAAAAAATCATGTAAAAACCAAGTTTGAAAATGAATATGAATTTTATTGTCGTAGAAATATACTGTTAAATAGGAATGTAGCTTCATTAGAATGACCATCATTTTGGAAGTTCAAAATCGCTTGCAAAAGAAAAATGTGAAAGGCGTCGCGTTACTTAAAATATTCTTTATAAATAATTTTTTCTAATTATTCTTCTTTTTCTTCTGTTATTGTTATTATTTTGTTCAAGTAAAACAAATAAAAAGAAAAAAAGTTATAAAACTCATTTACTATTTGTATATTTACCTTTCTCGTTTTACTTACAATAAGACAAAAAAATCACATATTTATGTATATTTATTTATCTATACAAATATAATTACTCCTAAATTCAAAAATAATGTTGGCTTCCTAAATTTAAAGAATTAACATACTGAATAGCACAGTTACTTTGGGAATTTTTTTCAACATTTAAAGGAAGTTTCGTGTTTACTTGAGAATGTAGGTGTGGTGTGAGAAAAATTCAACAGTCACACTGAATATCCATCGATTGTTGAACGGATTCACCAAGAAATACATGAACAATTTCAAGACATTAGTACTGAAGATATTCAAATAAAATCGTTGACGTCGAACGCAGGTATACTGGAAATTAATATCGAGCTACAGTTATTTTAGAATGAAAACAAACACTTTATTTCAAATTTCAATATTATATATTATCAACAAAAGAACTCCTGGAAAGTGGCTTCAAGTGATCGAAAATAAATGCACATCGAATTCTGAGGAAAATTCATATCTAGCGCCCTATCCATTTAAATGAATCAATGACAAGAAAGTGTATTATATGATTAAAATGACTACTGCTGCTATTAGTCAGAAAGAAGCATTCGGCATGAGCGACCATATTTCAAAGTATTTCAGAAGAATTTCGGTGATATCATTACAACGTTTAGATCAGTTATTTGTTTCGAATACTGACATCGACCCGGTGAATATTGAAGATGGTTAGCTTTTTAATAAACTTTTTTCTGTTTATTCATTAAATGTAAGATGTTCGTGGGCTTGGATTTGTTGATTTGTGTGAGAGTATGGTATGTACATGCATGATGAAATTCAACGTCTACTGCTATTTAAGACAAAGGTATACTAAATGTTTTAACATGAAATTTGGGTATTTATGATAATTTTTCATATGGTGAATTATGACATAACATATCTTTTCGCTTACCATTAAAAAGATTAATATGATCATGTTACAATAAATTTTTCATAACCTATACGATTTTTTTAATAATTTTTTTCCAAAAAAAGATCTAAGTTTAGTTTTCATTAAAAGAATATGATGAATTATTAGATGCTTTGTTCATCCAGAATAACTGTTCATGAATTCTTTATCATTGAATTTTACCAGAAGAAGGTGATCTAAGTTTTACATCTTCCAATCTATGAATATATGAAAACTTACAAAGAAAACATAATGAAGTGAATAATAGGATCTAGGTGTACTTCTCGATCTCTTCTTCAAGAACATTTACACTCACACAATCCAACACCCGCACCCAAGAGAACTGAACGTGTAATCTTTTTCTGAAATTTCTTTTTCTTGTTTAAAATAACTGGGAAGAGAACAATATTTTGGATGATTCCATTCTTAATGATTCATCCATTATTTTCAAATGGCTGAAATTTTAAATGAAAATCTTTGAATTTTAGCTTTTTGAGGTCATTATATGGGTAGTGATAAATTCGTACTGTTTCACCATTAAACGTACACTCGTACAAAGGCGTCGACGTTTCTTCGGCATATTGGGCACAATCGTATCGAACGTCCACAAGGAACACATGTAGCAAGATGACCGCATGGAATGCAGGCTAGCTGTTTTTCTTCGGAGAAGCAAATTACACAAAGATTCGATGTTGCTGAATTATCAGAGGACTTGCTTTGCACTACGTTAGATATTGTCGAGATTTTAATTGTTTTCATTTCTTCTTCTTTTTCATTTATCGATATTAATGTTGCTTCGTTTGTAGAATTCTTCGAGGACTGAAAAGTAGTTGATTCGTTCGTTAGTGCTTTTGTAGATGTTATTTTGGCCTTATTCGTGCTTGTAGATGAAGTAAGATCAATATTCTGAAATACATGAGCTGTCGCCGATGAAGATCCTCCAGTTTGTTCGCATTTTAGAGCTTGTAAACCACAATATACAATAGATCAGTTAATAAGATTCAAGTCAAGACATACCTGCTTGTTCTCTTTTGGCTTGATCACGAATCTTTGTCATTTCAACATTTGGAATAAGAATATTTTCTTTTTTCCCATCAATATATTCTATCTGTTTCTTCAATATCGTACAGGCAATGAAAAGATCAATTTCAGATTCGAAATCATCACCTAAACGACAAGAAAAGTAAATCCTTCGAAATCTAAGTCAAAGAAAGTATCGATTTTCAAAAGTTTTAGATTATCTACTGACTCTACTATCAAATCGAAACTCTTATTTAAACAGGAAGCTACTTTCATGACGTACTCTTAAACTATGACATATACAGAGTGAAATGAAAAACTAAAGAAAGGCGAAAGAAGTAATTTGTCTCTGACGTAAAACTGAAAAAAACCATTAAGATATAAATACATATTCTCTCAAATTATTTCTACTATGGACCGTATTGATATCAATGCCTCGAATGCCGTACGAAAATGGATATATTCACTTCAAATACTAGGTTTTATTTGATTATCTTAAATACGTTTTAATCGCAGTTGGTCTTCCCAGCAACGTTTGATGATTGATAATTTGAAGTTTTGATCGAGTAATCTCTGTGAAATTGATAAATCTAAGCGAGCAGCGACCAAACGTGATAAAGTACTTTCATCTGCTATGTGCAACTTGAAACTGTTTCCACATGAATTGTTGTTACTAGTACCACTAACACCATTTCTCTCTGTAGATTCAATACGTTCAACCTGTTCTACAATCGAGAAATAGTCAAATAGAATTCATCTAAAAACTAGTGTTGCAATAAATGATTTACTGTTTCGCTCTCGGTTACATTCTTGAATCTTTCGGTAAAGTTCGTCACCACAGAGCTGTTTAGCATAGGCACAGTGTGGATACCAGCGTGCATGTTCAATGGTTGGATTGTCATTCGGACCCCAATTCTTTAGTGACCCATTACAATAGAAACAAGTGACGATGCTCTTCGTTCCAGTGTAGAAAAATCCAGCACGAACAAGATCGTCAATTGATGGTAAAGAATCCGTAGGCCAATTAGCAAACGATGCCTGTCGTTTTGGAATCTCAATATATGCAGGATGACAAGCTGCTATTGGTATGATCTCATTGTAACGAAATGCATTTGAAACAGCCACTCCGTTCATTATAGATGCATGATTATTAATCGTCTCGTTTACAATTGAGACCGGAAGTTTTTCGCATCGTCTCATCATGGACACAACGAAAGAACATCGAGGTCGGAGAGTTTTATGTACTTCAATAGGATCATCTGAAGAAGATATCCACTGCTGACAGATGAGATTGCAGTAAATACAAATGACACGATCTCCGACATTACAACAAAAAAATCCAGCTTCTATCATTTGATCTCGAGATGGTGCTTTCTCTTGTAGCCAATGTGAGAATGAACGCCTTCGTGCTTGTTTTAGTGCATTGACTTCGATAAGTAGATTTTGAGTCGTATCTTTGGGTATAGTTTCAATCTTTTGACGTTTTGATGGATTTGTTTCGTCGCTCATTTCTAATTTAGTTCCAATGAAGTTGACTGTTGATGGTTGAGAATCAATGGTTGGCATGCCAGCATAAAAAGACTTCTTAGATTGAATAAAACTACAATTCGGACTTTTTTCTGCATGAATGATAAATGGATTCATAGTTGCTGTCCAACCTGATATTTCAACATGACATGTATCACATCGAACTGTATCGCTGACTCCCGTGTATCTGAGTCCGGCAGCTTGCATAGCATTTATCGAGTGATGGACTCCTTGCCTATGAAGATGAGCGCTTAATCGAAGAAAATCTATGATAGATGAACTCAAGATTTTTGACGCAAGCACATTGCTCAAGCTAGTTTGATTTAATGAGTTGCTACAATCCATTTTCAGTTCTGTATCTACTATTTGCGTAAGAAATAAATAGGTGTCTGAAATACATAAATAAAGACTAATTCATACCATAATAGATATTTTAACAAAGGAGAAGTAGTAATCTCCCAATGTAAAAATAAGGGTTCAGAACAGATGATTGAATAGATTTCTGAAATGTAGACATAGAACTCGAATCTCATGATATGTTATTCGTGATTAAGCCGCTGGAAATATTGCAACAATTGTATTCCGATCAACTGACGCGAATAATAGATAGAAGATATGGCAAGTCAGTAAGAAACACATATATGAGTTCACTTCCAAAAAAGATTCAGTAGAGACGTGTCTTAATAGTCGATTTTCATCATTATGAAGCTTCTTACTCTACAGCAACAGCCATGAAATATTGAATTAAGCACTTCATAAAAATCTGTTTTCTTGTCAGAAAATTCTATCCACTTCGTTTTTAAAAAATTCTGTTGTAAGTAAATTATCAACCCCTGTTAGTTGGAAGTTTGATATTGTTACTTCGATTCTACGCAGTAAATGTAGTAAAAAATAACTGCATTTTGCTTCGAGATATTTTATAAGAGTTTCATCGAGCTTCAGTAAATTATATGAAGATCTATGATCTGGACGCACATTTGAAGGCATTGTAATCCAAAATGAATGGAAAATATTAATATAAAATTGAAGTTTATGTGCAAATAGTAAGTATTGATGAAACTGTGTGCTGTCATATTTCTGGATCCATGTCATGACAATAATTGATAATGACTTGAACTGGAATTGCTACCTCATAATTTACACGTTAATTCTCCGTGAAAAGCAAAGCGCTGGAATATATATATATATGGATATTAGAGATAATGCAACTATAGTCCGAACAATTAAAAGTGTGAGTTGACATCTTACTCTTTTGTTTTAATTTCATGACGATGCGTTCTCTTGTTTTTATATACTATAAACTAATATGGATTGGTCATATATTAACTATGATAATCCTCTAGTGATCTTCTATCTATACTATATATCTTAGATTTTTATCTTTGTGTATGTGTATAATTTCAACTGAAGTAATTTTTTTCAATATAATTTTCATTTGCACATTAAATCTTGTTGCACATGTTCTTTTATTGTACCTATCCATGGCACTGCGTACAAATATATTTCGGCATAACTTTTGACATTTTGCTTTCTTTCTTGTATTGTGATATATACAGTTCACTTGTTCGAACAGATAGACCATAACCACTATACCTTCAAGTAAGCTCTGTATGTCATAATACAAGGAAGAAAGTGTAATATGCAAACGAAAATCAAATGTTGAAAATCACTACAATTGAAATTATAATTATACATATATATACATATACACATAGATAAAAGTGTAAGATATACAGTATAGATAGTGGACCACAGAGGATTATCATAGTAAATATATGATCAATCTATATCAGTCTACAACATATAAAAACAAGGGAACGTATCATCGTGAAATTAAAAAAAAGCAAAATCTCAGCCCTTATTTTTTATTGTTTGGACTATAGCTTTAATGCTGTATTAAGACACTATATAAATGTGATTGGTGGAAGAAATGTATTTTACCAAGGAAGAAAGTCATTTATTGCACGGAATAATAGGAGGAAGTCAATGAAGCATAAATTATTTACATTCTGTTTATTTGAAAAGTGACAAGAAAAAGAAATATATTAGTACAAATTACCAACAGTGATATCATAATAAATACACAAATAATTTTTTTTTCCTAGGAAGATTTCATCATATCATCAGGATGTAATACCTCGAAAGCTATTACCCACTAGCCATTAACTCGGTAATTACCATATCAATTACTGTACATACTATTCTCATAGAACTATATGAAAATATTTATTTAGAAATTATTGGTTGCAAACGACTTCCTCATACTCTATAGAAGATACAGTCATGCACATGCAAAACGGAAGAGATATGCTACTGACCAACTTATCAGCTCAAAAATCTTCACTAAAAATTTAAAAATAACTATGATAGTGATATATCGTCATCAATATGGCAATAGTAACAAACAAGTAAATATGACTCATCTAGCTCCATTCATCGAATAGGAAAACTCATATGCAGTAAATAGAAAAACCATCCTTTCTATTGTTTTATTTTTGTGATTGTGCACAGACAATGTTGAAAGTAGTTCATCGGAACCTGTTTGAAATAACACAACTACAAAGACATGAATGCAACAATAGATATCGCTACTCGTCGATCTAAACAACCACTAATTCTCTCCTGAGCATCATCTAATACAATATCGAAGTAGTAGTATCTTTAGGAATCAATAAATTTTTTACAGAACATGAATTTCATTGTGAAATATTGTAACACGTACACAAAGAAGTATAACGCACGGATGGCAGAACATTAAATTGGTATTTTGCCGTTGTTATGAATTAGTATCTGAAATCGGTCAACTTTTTGTGATAAGGCCAATTCCGAGTCGAACACTGTTATAAATAAGAACTTGATGCATGTTGTATAATTCTTTGTTCACTAGTTATTTGTTGAATGATCGAATTGATTGGAAGAGAGTATACTTGAAATCAGACAGCATTTTGATTAGTTTGTAACGAATTTTTAAAAAACTGTAACAGAAACAAACTCTAAGCTTCAAACAGTGCTTATCATCTCCTTTCATACCTATTCGATATTAGTCATTGTGGCAACAAACGACATCATCAACACTCTTAGCGAGATAATCAAATATTGTTTTCTTTGCGTTTCACTTTTGGGTGATATTATAACTTTCCTAGCATAGGAAAAAAAAATAATTATATACTGCAACGAATACAATTAACACTTGAATTGCAATAACCCAGACACATATAAGATATTCTCGAGAAAATTCACTTGATGACTATAGGTATACGTGCGTTGTGCAAAAAAACGAAATGACTACAGAATTTTGTTGTTGGTTTTCTTTGTCTTTGTTTTTTGGTGCTCAGTTTTTTTAATATTCATTATTTTTAAATGCATTGCGTACTTTCGTAAAACTCAATAATTCGAATTTTTCACAGAATACTGATCAATTGAAATTTTGATTAAATCGTTCTTCCTTGAGACGGAAGAGAATAAAAATGCAAGTAAAGCCATGAAATCATAAAACAAAAAAAGGAGTCTCACGAGGGAGCATTCTCAACTGTCACATCGCTTTTAAGCCGAACGTATGCGCATTATGTAGACCCTCACGATCTATGAATTCTCTGAAAAAAGTTCGTGCTGCTAGCTTATTATTGCCGAGATACAGCATTTTTACTGTATGCTTAAGAAAAAAAAAAGCCGTGGTCCCCCTCAGGAACATCGGAAAACTGAATTTCGAATTTCGTCTTAAAACTTTGTATAGATATAGGTCTCAACGAGAATACTTTATTGTGAAAGTTTCAGCTCTTTTCGCTGTTCCTATCCTAAGATATAGCTATCGTAAAATTGTTCATATACACCAGCAGATCCGATGTTCTTATCTCAGACTAGGAGCAACCAAAAAATCTGAAACCTTCACAATAAACTATTCTCATTGAGGCCTGTCTACATGCAAAGTTTCAGGTGGAAACTCAAAAGTCACTTTTCCTGATGTTCCTGAGGGGGCCACGGCTTTTTCCTTAAACATACAGTAAAAATGCTGTATCTCAGCAGTAAGAAGCTAGCAGCACGAACTTTTTTCAGGACATTCATAGGTCATTAGGGTCTACATAATGTCCATACGCTCGACTCAAAAGCGATGTGACAGTTGAGAATGTTCCTTCGTAAGAGACACTGATCAAGTTACATGTTTCGAAAGCAATTGCACCTGCTATAAGAGTTAGTAACGATAATAAAATACTGGAGTAAACGATTAGAACAAGGCTAACATAAGTCGAATAGCATAATAATCATTAAAAATAGCAGGATTTATCGATTGCTTACGAATGCACACAGAGAAACTTACTTGTGATTACATAAAAACAACAGCACACGTGTCTGCATTGCATTTGGAGAAGAAAGAAAAACTTTCTTCATATTTGTAAACATTGATGTAGTTTCTCAGTATTTTACTATTGCTTTTTCATCACTAAAAAATATATTTAACTTACGTATGTATATGCAGTTGTATGAAGTGCAAATGATAACTTTTCAGAGATTTATGTTGTGTGCCTACTAAAAGCTGTTCGATATTTTATATAAAAGAAATAGAAGATTGAATGAGTAATCATGTGTATGTGAAACTATGACGAGGAATGAGTATAATAAGTGCAACTTGGAAACCATATTTAACTTTTTGCTGAGGTGGCATTGTTCTGAATCATCTCGGACGAGCAATCTATATGATTAATAAGAGGGTGTGGGGGTGGGTGTGGATGGATGAGGGTGTGGGGTGTGGGCGTGTGGGTGTGGGTGGATGTGGGTGTGGAATGTGTATGGGTGTGGGTGTGGAGTGTGTATGGGTGTGGGTGTGTGGATGTAGGTGTATGTGCGGGGTGGGTGTGGGTGTTAATGAAAGGAACATCTGTACTCGCATTCACACCCTACAAGGACCCATTTCAGTAAATCATGATTATTATCTTGATGGAAAAAAACTTCCAGACGATGTATCAAACAATAATTTATTGAGTGATAATTAAATATAGACATGATAGGAAATTAGTATACGAATATTTGACATTACTATTGCATTGTTGAGTAAAAGAACAAGAAGACTGAGCAAAATAAAATTTTTTAAGGAATTTTTGCGATCAATTAATATGAAAAATAAACGTTTGTATTAAAAAATGGTCTAAAATCTGATTAATTTTCAGCATGATCATTAGATTGATCTAACTTAATCATATAATTTACTGAGG